TTTGAAGAGGTTCAAATAATGGTACCTCTTTCATTTCAAATAAAAATATCATCATTTCTTGAGCCATATGAAACAAAATAGTTGGAGTATTGATTAAGGAAGTAGCTACATTTTTTTCTCTAGTATCTCTTAAAGATATATCAATTTTTTCTTGGATTGGATCTTCTTCTTTTATTGTAGATATGAAGCTTAAGATATCACCACTTAAGAGGTGAAATAAGCTCTATGTATGCCTTCCAATAACATTCCACTTCATACAGCTCTAATGAGTGTTCCTCACTCCATTTTTCATAAGTTTAGAATACTTCATGCTCCAAGTATTGTGATAAAAGCTCAAAGACATACCACTCATTAAAAGTGGGTGACCTTTGATGCTTCTCCTTCATTAATGTTTGAAATCAAAGTCTCCAATCTAACAAAGAAATGCCCTAAGCTCTTTTTAAGAATCTATCTATTACCATGTCATAAGGATCATCTTTTATCTTATAAAATATATCCACCTTTGACATCCAAAGCCTTTGAATAGTATCTAATGTTGAAACAAGCTAAAAATTCTCATTAGTATCCACATCTAGTTCAAAGTCCTCAATGTAGTCACTATTCAAGTAGACTAGTGAAAGTGATTGATAATATTAACTCCTAATATGCACTATAAAAGAGACTACTTGAATACTTACAACTATTGAAAGGCTAAAAGGACAACATATGCCTGCAAAACCACCAAGATTTATAATTTATTAGCCATCACCTCCAGATCACTATAAGTTCAACAAACCTACAAATAAAAAGATCTTGCCGACCATCAACTCAACCTCATTCCTATAATTCACCTATTAATACAAACTAGTAGAAATATAAAATAAAATAACTACAAAAAATCTCTAAAAAAATATCCAAAAATAAGAAAAGATACTAAAAATAAAATCTAAAAATCGGTACTAGATCTTCATCTTTGACAACACAAAAGCAAAAATCAAAAGTGAACCAATGAAACTAGCATCTGCCTATAATTGATGGTCACAAATCATAGAACATGTGATAATATAAGATAATTGCAATAAAATAAAATATGGAGAAGTGAAAAAAAAATCAAAGCTTATTTAGAAAGTAATTGACATTTAGTGAATGCCACTTCAATGCTCCAAATGACCGCCACTTTAATAATTAAGCATGCTAATAAACTTCTTAGGTCTCTTTTATATAAAATTGACTAAAAAATAATCAAATTCAGACTCCATATGTATTTAGAATGAGTATCTAAACTTGATACTTAAAAATTCTAGACAACATTTTTTTTTTTTTTTTTTTTTTTTTTTTTTCCTATAATTTCCTACTAGGTCTATGATTGCGGAACCTTGTGATTTTCATCCTATTATCATAGATTCTTTTAATTGTGGTATCCTATCACTATGGTCTTATGATCGCGATGATTCTTTGACTACAATATCTTATCATTGTGGTCTTATGATTGCAATGTCTTATCATCATGACTTACCTAAGATTATAGATTGATATCTTAAGCCATAAAAGTCAAGAGCTATTGTTAATCCCTGCTAGTTACTGTTTGTTTTTGTTGTTTTTATAGTAATTTGTATCAAATTATTGCATTGTATTTCTTATGCAAAGCGTTATCATGTTATAACATGATTATATAATAAAAATATGATTAAAAATGATTTTTTTAATTAATATTCTATTATATTAATTCAACAAGAATTCATAATATTTTAATAAGGCTTTTATAAAAGTTTCTTAGCCTATTTTCTTGTCTTACTAGCAAGTAGATAAAAGTTAATTAGTAATTTACCTTCTAGGATATAGAAACTCTTTTACTGCCTTAAAAGGCTATAAATTGATAAAATCAAAATAGAAGAAGTAAATGATTAATATGATTGATACTAGAATCAAGTCAAGGGTAGGACTAGGCTAAAAAATCCTTATGATAGGTTAGATTGATACCTGGGGATCAATTATTTGTGAGATAGGGTCGAAATTAGACCTCTAGTCACTAAAACGACTGCCTAGGGCAAAGTAGGAGGCTTTTGTAGATTGGAGACTAGGATTTGATAACAGACTAGATAGGATTTCTATAACCATTATTTTTTTATGATTTGGATTTGTAATGATTTTGTAAGAGCTTTAGAAAGTCAAGTTTATTTTGGATGACTTGGATTTTTGTGAAATAAAATAGGGTTGACGTTTTGGGCGTTTTTGAGAGTTCTATAATAGATCTATAAGTGAAATTTTGTAAGTTAATGGTTATAGTTGTACTTAATATGTGCTATAAATTAGAGCTTGATCAAAAGATTGGATTGAAGGTTATTAAGGTTTTTGTAGGTTATGATCTCAGAATTTAGGATTTTAAAGACTAGTAAAGATTTCTAAGATATCTTGCAATCTATCAGTTGGATTGGAATGAAAGTTAAGTTTTTAGATAGTAGACTTATTTTCCTTTGTATGTAAGAATTTTAAAATTGATTGAATGGTTTGATAAGAAGAAATTGGTACTGAAAATTCAACATTTAGATTGGAGAAGAAGACCAATCCACACCCAAGTACATTTTTGTAATTATCATCCATTTGAAGTTAAGAATATTATCTTATGCTTCAAAAATTTTGAGCTCAATCCAACAGTTGAATTTAAAGAAATTGAATGCTAAAGTTTTGTATTTTTGAAGGATATTAGTTATTACTATTGGATATTAGTTATTACTATTGAAAATTGGTTATTGCTATTCGATATTGGTTATTGCTACTAAATATTGGTTTTTGCTACTGGATATTAATTATTGCTACTAGATATTGGTTATTGCTATTGGATATTGATTATTGCTATTGGAAATTGGTTATTACTATTGGATATTGATTTTTGCTACTGGATATTGGTTATTGCTACTGAAAATTGATTATTGCTATTGGATATTGATTTTTGCTATTGGATATTGGTTATAATTATTAGATATTGATTATTGCTACTGGATATTGGTTTTTGCTACTAATTATTGGCTACTACTACTAGATATTGATTAATGCTATTGGATATTGATTATTGCTATTGGTTATTGGCTACTATTACTAATTATTGATTACTGCTATTGATTATTGGTCACTGTTATTGATTATTGGTTGCTACTATTGATTACTATTACTAAAGCTGATACTATTGATTACTATTACTGTTATTGATTATTTGTTGTTGTAGTTTTTCCTTTATCTTCCATATCCAAGTACCCAGTCCATTCTTAAGCTAAACATGATGTAATATGACAACACTTTGTTAAATAACCTCGACATTGCTTCCAATGCCAAAAATACAAAAATAAAAATTGTTCAAGCTTGATCTTTGTGATTTTGATCTTGCTCTTTTGTACAATTTCAATACATTGTGACTAAATCCTATTTCTTTTAGCAATATTCTTTGTAAGCTTTGTGATCCTCGTCTATACAATAAACTTGTGACCTAGATTTTCCATGAATTGCAACTTCTTGCAACTTTATGCTCCTAGATTGTAACTTGTTATTGTTTAGTGTCGTGACTCTAATTTTGCTTTTATACATGCTATTCTTTATAATCAAACTTCGTGACTTGCATTAGCCACTTTAATTGTATTCAAAAACTCATCGCTACTTTTTAGCACCTCAACTTAGTCTTGCCTCACAATATTTTGCCTTACAAAATCTAGCATTGCAACCTTGCACTTTTGCAACACTACTTTGATCATGTGCTCTAGCACTCTGTATTAATATTTCACATAGTAAATATAGTACCTATATCACACTACATTCTAATAAAGCAGCTCAAGTGGATTTTGGTGCCCAACACAACAATGCTTAGATCTTAGCAGCAAAAATAAATAAAAAAAAAATGGATTTTTTAATTTATTTTTTAAAATTTTAAATCTACTTCATTTTAACTTGCTATACTATAATTTGAAGGAAAAGAAAGATTCTTGTCATGTAAAAGATTAGAAATCTATACCAAACTAAGTCAAGTTATCTCTCACACCACAAAGAAGGAATCCAATAATGCAAGTATGAAAATAAGAGAAATCCTAAAGCTTTACTAAAATGGCTAAAACACCATAGTCAAATAAACCTTTACAATAAGTTCTTTCATTCTCAAAATCACTTGCAAGACAAGAACATTAAGTTAAGGATTTTTTTTCCACTTAAGTACTCAAATCCTAATTGATATGAACAAAGTAAACTAATAAAAAAAACTATCAATGGATGAAAAACCACTAATCAAACTAAACTACGTACATTCAATGGAATTTGGCACCCAATGCCATATCACATGACATTCTAGTTTTACAACAAAAAAATTTGAGAATAAGAAAATTTCACTAGTTTATTAGAAATTTTCCATAAAAAAATATGAATAAACAAGGTTGATCCAAAGATTCATTCAATAAAAACCATTTCAAATATGTTATTGTTATTATATTATGTTTTTAAAATCATTTTCATTACCATAAGTACCTCAAATAAAATCTGACAAGAATTGACCTTGAAAAGTTTTATTCATCACACTCAAATATGTCCACCATTATTATATTAAAAAAAATATATATGAAAAGTTATGATACAATAAAATAAATAAATAAAATAAAACAAAACTTTCCATGCTTTCTAGGACGAAAAATTTGTCAATATAATTTTGTAGAATTAAAACACAAAGAATTGAGAGCATCTGTAGGCCACATTGTTTTATTTTTTTTCTAGAAACTAATCTTCTATTTCTATGCTTTTAATAGGCGGTTCACACGATCGTGATATTTCGCTCGAGCAAGAGTTTATGCCCTGTGACACACTTTTCAAAACGACTGTAGAGGTCAGTGCCACATCCGGGTACTATTCAGGATATAAATCAGGGTATTTGTCTTAGTATACATTGGGATATAAATAGGAATATATATCCGGGCATACGATTCTTTGTTGTCGCCGGACCGCCGCCGGGTCTCACTCGAGAGGAGAGCACAAGTCTCAGGGAGTCCCACGCAGCTCATTGCTTTGGCCCGCCTCATCTCGTCACGAAGAGTCTCCCTGTCAGGGTTTTCATGAGCCTGTATCGTGCGCTCGCTATCAATTTGCTGCATCTCACTCTGCGTAGCACTGGATAGCTTCATTAATACTCGTCAAGGAATGCCGCCGCTGCTTCTCGGTGCCGTTTCCGCCGAGCAGTGGCATTGCGTGCCGACTTTAACTTATACTAACAGTGCCTGCAATTGATCGGTTGCAGCTCAACTTATGACTTAATGCTTCCATGCTGCTTGTTGGGAAGGCTGTTGTAATTAGGTAGTCTTCTGGGTAGATTCTCAATTTTGCACTGCAGGGTATGAAACGAACCATCAAGTCTGATGCAACTGTTTTGTAGTTGATGATGAGTTAGGTCTTCATGTGTATGTAGCTAATCAGAGGAAGGATCGAGAGTGTATGGATTGAGCAGCTAGTAGTTCGGAGATTTTCCATTCAGTGGAGTTGAATTATCTACTAAAAAGGTTAGTTAAGATTCTGTGGAGAGATGGGAGTTCACGGTTTGTGGGAGCTTCTAGCTCCCGTTGGGCGACGAGTTTCCGTGGAGTCTCTTGGAAGTCGAAAGCTTGCTATAGGTGTGTATCCATTATTTTGACTAAATCCCAGACAGTTCGTAGATTGCTTGTAATACTTGACTCTTCGCATTTTAGGGTGCGTGCAATTTGCTGTGAATCTGTCTTTGAATCATATGAAGTAGCAAGACGGTGAATTTCGATCAATTTCTTGAGGGATGATGGATGTGTGGAATGATGATGATGATGATGTGGCTAATTGGAACATTTGCGTGTGGATGCAACAGACGCAAGTATATGGATCATCCAATTTATGAAGGCAATGCGTGATGATCGTGGAGATATGATCCGCAATGCTCACTTGTTGGGGTTCTTCCGCCGAATTTGCAAGCTCCTTTTTCTGCGAGTAAAGCCAGTCTTTGTGTTTGATGGAGGTACTCCTGCTCTGAAGAGGCGGACCGTAATTGCTCGCCGGAGGCAGCGAGAGCAAGCTCAGTCCAGAATTCGGAAGACTGCCGAGAAGCTGCTTTTGAATCATGTGAGCTTGATTGGTCTCTTCCTACCTGGAGATATTTCTTATTTCCTTTAAAAATTGAATAGCCTACATGTCAGGATTTTTTAAGAACCCACGAACTCTTTGCTGGGACTGTATAGTTGCCATTGCACTCCATGGGTTTAGGGTTTATGGCCAGACTAATTTTCATAATTTTAGTTTTGAATCAATATCTCGTCACCAACGCTACACACTCTATCTCTGCTGACATTGCATCATGTCTTGAACAGCTACGGACTAGGAAGTTGGAAGAAATTGCTGGTAGAGGTGGCACGCAGAATAAATCGTCCATGAGGAATAACATCGACAATGGCAATGACGTTGCTGCAGTCGATAGTGGGATGAATGGCACTGAAGGGTTTCCTTCCTCTTCTGGTGCAACTTCACATAGTGATGTGCTTAAGCAGGAAGCTAGTGATGATTTGTAAGTTTCCTCGCTGAGCCTTAAGCAGTATGACTTCCTTCATGCGGCTAACATAGGTGTGACAAAAGTGAAGGAAAATGGAAACGGTAAGTTTATTAACTGAATTTCGATCGTGTGACCTGATAAATGTGTCAGGCTGGTAACTTCAATGATAGGACATAAGAAGGAAGACAATGAGGACACTGAAATACCAGAACATGAAGTGCAAGGACTGAACGGGTGGGACGAGGTTGAGAAACAGGACTTGGATGAGGATGATGAGGAAGAGCTTGTGTACCTTGTAAGTATATTTCTCATCCTTTATATGCTCATGTCGTTTGAATGAAAAAAATCTGTAGCATGAAAAAGAACAATACCGAGACATATTAAACACATGCTCTCCGCACATATCTGAGTTATCTGCTGGCCTTGTCGTTTGTTCACTTGATTTTGGATTGGTTCTTTAGATCCAGAAGATGCAGTAAGAATACTCTTGGCCGACAATTTCGAGTCCTTTGAGCGTGTCGTTTGATATTGGTTACAGGTCAAATCTTTTCTTTCTTAGTTCTTGAATATCTTTGCTGGTATTAGATATGTAGATGATGAATTTTTATTTATTTTATTATAAATAACTTTGTCTAAGCCTCAGATTTACCATTGGCGAGGTTCTTAGATTGGGAACCTTGTTTGGATGTTACAGGGTTCAGTGATACCTCTCAAAACTTTCAAGAGGTAGTTAAGGTCATGTTAATACCATGTCTCATTTGCCGACTGATACAAATGTACGTGATCGTGCAGCCATCAACGGAAGGAAAGTTGGATCCAGAGGTTTTGGCATCTCTGCCTGCTTCAGTGCAGCTGGAACTTTTAGTGCAGGTATGATTAGTTCATATTTGATTGTGTGTATTGGTTGGTGTGATGGTCAAGAATGATACAACTGTGACCGTAGTTGACGAATACGTATTTACAATTACGTTGCCTTAGCTTGAAGTTTGAATGATTCATGGTGATTCATGAGTATTCGCCCACCTTTTCGGTGTCAGTAATTGATTTGTATTTTTCTGCAGATGAGAGAGCAGCTTGTGGCTGAAAATCGACATAAGTTTCAGAAGGTTGCCAAGGTTGAGCATCCATCCCTGTCGCAAAACATTATCTGATTCACAGGAGATATGCTACTTTTAATCTCAAGGATCTAGGTAACCTTCATAGATTGGTACAAATGTCCTGTCTAAGCAGACTTGAGTATTTTCAATTCTAAAGTACAACCGTTCCCGTAGGTTACGTATCACTATTGGTTTTGAGCGGGTTCAATATTTATGCTGCTATTGATATTAGAGATGCAACCTAACACTTGGTTTTGAGAAAATGTGTGCAGGTTCCATCTTCTTTTTCTCAACTACAAATAGATGCTTATTTGAAGACAGTAGCATTTCGCAGAGGAATTCAGGATGCACAAAAAGCTGCTGCTGTAAAGGGTGTGGGAGGTGTACCTGTCACTCGTATTGCATCTGAGACAAATCGGGAGTTCGTCTTCACTACTTCTTATCAAGGAGACAAAACGTAAGCTTTCTGTTTGTATATAGTGCAGGGTGTTTTAGCCATCATAATTTTGAAAGAGCCTTTTTTCCTTCTGTTGATGAGAGGCATGTATTTTAGGATATGTAAGAGGTCGGTTAATATGTGAGTGCGAAAGGATAGAAGTTAACTAATTACGTTTTGGTCAATCAGCCTTCAATGTGCAGGCTAGGTATCACTTTAGTGTAACAAGTCATTTTGTTTATATAACCTGAGTGAGCTTTGTTAATGAGACTATTATGTAGGTTTTTTACTCTGAAGTTTCAACTCATATTGAAGTTGACAGGGCATTGACTGGAGAAGGTGGTGGTAACTCAATACTGACCTCGTTGAAACCTCCTCAACCGAAAGTGCAACCACCTGCATCTACTTCATCGTCACTTCTATGTACCAATTTCACGTACGTTTCTTGAGCATTCAGGTTTAAGGTTGGATAATAACGTGCCGGGAGTTTCTCCTTGTAATTTCTTGTAAAATGTCTCATTCATTAGATTACCGATTGTGGGTACAGTTCTGCTTTGTGCATGCGCGATGAGGATGATTTTCTTTAGCAGCTGTGAATTAGCATAAGATTCAAACCTTTTTTCTATTTAGTATTTGTATCAAGTCTAAGTTATTTTTAGTTTTGAATTTATTCGCGTGCAGGTCACTGCCAATCAATGGAGGAGCATTAAGCACAGATTCGGATGTTATCAAGAATTCAGATAGCACCGTGCAAACATATGTGGACGAAAAAGGGAGGACGCGAGTGAGTAGAGTTCGGGGCATGGGTGTCCTTATGACTAGAGATTTGCAGTGGAATCTCTATCTTATGAAGGATGTGGAGAAGCGGCAAGCACTCGAAGAATTGAAGGATGACAATGTGTCGGCCTTTGCAGAGAGTGCAGTCAATAGTGGAGATGGCGAGGTGTTTCAGAAGCTCATAATGGGAGACAATCCTAGTATTTCCGAGTCTCTCTCAGGAAGGCCTCCCACCAGTCCCGGTGTGCTAGTTCAAGTAGATGCTGATCAATTTATACACGATGACGTATCTGCAGGTGTAGGGCCTAAGGTAGCTTCTAATCCAGATGGTATGCCGCATGTGCCAAGCATCCAAATCACCTTTAACAGCAATGAAGATGACGAGGACGAAGACTTAGATCTATTCAAGAATTTAGTCAGAGATGGACCCCAGGGCTCCCTTGAAAAGCCACTAGTACAGAGCACTGCCTCGGCGCTGGTGCCTGTTGCAGAAGAGAATGACGACGATGACTGTGAATGGGAAGATGGCGATTTACAAGGTGCACAAGAACCTAGTCCTGGTTTGAAGAGTAGCAATGGAGTTCAAGAGCTCGACCATCGTAAAAGCATTCTTTCAGAATCACACATTCAAACTCCAGCTGGAAATATTTTGACTCTTGGCGGTGATAGTGATGCAGAGATGGCCCTTGCAATTCAGCAGAGCTTAGCGGAACATGATAGACTCCGATCTGCTCAACCTGGGGTTTATCCTGACTCTGAAGATACAGGACTGAGTGATGACAGTGACACAGGGGAGAGTGGTGAAAGTGAAGTAGAGTGGGAGGATGGCAGCGGTGCAGTTGCAGTACCAGCAGCTGGGTTTACTGTCGCAGCAGGTCCGGTTCCACTTGCTGCTACATTTATCCTATTTCCAGTGGTTGCGTTGGTCAAACCTTTGCAAATCCGCACGCTTCTTTCGTTACTTCTAAGTTTCTTTTCGACGTTGTTTTATCCTCTCCGTCTTTTTTGTATTGTATGATGTATTGCTTGTGTAGTATGATTGTTGTTTTCCATTGTTTATGGGTCTCTGTTGTGAAGGGGTTATCATGAATGAAGCAAGGAAGCCATGTTTCAGTGCTTTTTCTTTTTCTGAAATTTGTTTTTGGATTTTTCAGGCTTGGGGCTGACTCAAGAGGATATTGAGGTTCAAGAAGCTACACGCCGGAGTTTAAATGATGTGTGGAGAGCGCCCGTGCGGGCTCTCCCTCAGCTAGTCATCCGAGAACCTGTTGAGGGTGGTGCTAAAGCGTCGCCTGGGGGTGTATCCAGAGTTGAAGAGCAGGAGTCTCTTGCCACCGTTGATAAGGGTCTTAATGTAGACTCAGAAGAAGCTCGAATTGCACGAGAGCGGGCGAGGAAGGGAAAGGCTGTTGCTGAAGATCTAATAATTTCATCTCCTGCTGGTGTGATTAGAGCAGCTGCTGAGGTCCGACAGCAATTTCAAGAGATTCCTTCAACGGATGAAACACAAGTCAGTTCCGTTGTCGCATTTAACAACAATCCACGTCAGGACCCATCGAAATATGATGACGAAAAAGAAGAAAAATCCCGTCTGAATAATCTGGCGAATGTGAATGTTGGTGTTGCAGGATTCGCAATTGATGATCTTGTAAACAGAGAAGTTGGTTCTGATCAGAATTTAAAAGCACTACTGAATGGGACAAAGAGCAATGCAGAAATTAGTGTTGATGTTGAAACTGACGTTCCTGAGAATCCTGAAAGAATCGAGAAGGCAGATATCCTTAAAGAAGTGGAGTCAGTGCATGATGCCGTGAACAATTGCCCAAAGGGAAGCTCACCCACGCCCGATCAGCATGATAATTTATCGTCAGGTACTGTTTGTCAATGCTTGCACGCATCCAATTTTGTGTTGGATGTCTAAGAACATTAAGAATAAAGTATTACTGTGAGTTTTCGACATCTTAGAAGTTAAATCGTACATCTGATGTCTTCATACTAGCCATCCTTCAATGCATTGGCCTCTTATATGGACACTGGAGAATGCTTTGGTAAGAGCAGGGTTTTATTTGATTCGAGATTTTGCTGATGCATGTTCTGGATTCACGTAAAATTTTAAGATTCTGCTCCTCATGTGTAGTGGTGGGTTGAATACAGTTGTGAAGCCTAATTTTGCCAAACCCGGCTCAGAAAGTGTGTTACCAATGGAAGAAATGCTGAAAGACGCTGAAGACATGGATCTGGCGAAGGACCGGGAAGAAATGCTGATGCATGAGGCCGGTTTATTGGCAGAGCGTGAGGCACTTTCAAGAGATGAAGCTGAATTGCAGGCTGTATTTGAGAAGGAACAAGAAGAACTACTTGCAGGGATAGATAAAGAACGTGAGCTCCTTCTAGAAGAAGAAGCTGAGCTCCGCGAATTGCAGAAAAAGAACGAGCGCAATGCAGATTCTGTTACTTCGGAGATGTTTGCAGAGTGCCAAGTAAGTAATGACCGCTAAAATTTTCCAAGGGTTCGGGTATGATTAATGAGTGAAAATACTTTGCCTCGAATTAGAACTAGGTCCTTAACTCTTGCTTGTTGCCACACAAGTGTAGTGACATTTATGTATTGTGCAGGAGCTGTTGCAAATGTTTGGGTTGCCTTATGTGATTGCTCCCATGGAAGCAGAAGCACAATGTGCGTTTCTAGATGCAGAGAAGTTAGTTGATGGTGTAGTGACCGATGATGTTGATGTCTTCCTGTTTGGAGGCCGCAATGTGTACAAGAATATCTTCGATGACCGTAAATACGTGGAAACGTACTACATGAAGGTAATATACAATTTTTGATGAATGTTAAAGTCTGCATGCATAGGTTCCATTTCTTCTTATGGTCATGATCGTTGATTTGATTTTGGGTTACTCGTGTTCAGTTGTGCAGCGCAGTTCGTAGTCATTCACTCATGTTAAAACGTGCATTGTCTGGTGGCAGGATGTTGAGACTGAGTTGGGGTTGGATCGAGATAAGCTCATACGAATGGCTCTATTACTTGGAAGTGACTACACGGAAGGCGTCAGGTTGAAATCCTAGTTCAGATAGCTGAATTTGTATTAAAAAAGAAGAGTTGTCGACGAGGTCAACGAAACACACAATTTTATTTTTTACGGTTGCGTGTGAAAGGGAGAGTGAATTTGTGTTGGATTAGGGTTTTATTGTTTACACAGAAAGGTATTGGTGTATCACAATTTTTTATGAGGTTATTATTTTTGACGTCTTTTTGAAGTTCACTAGCAACTCCGTTTAAATTGCTCGCATCTGTGCAGTGGCATTGGCATAGTTAATGCTATCGAGGTAGTTAATGCATTTGACGAGGACGATGGGCTTAAAAACTTCAAAGAGATGGTGGAGTCTGTAGATTTGTCTCTTCTTGAACTTGGAGGTAATGGATTTAAAAGAAAGGGTTCACGGAGCAAAGCTAAGGACAAAAAGGAAAAAGCAGACGATATGGGTGAAGATGATGCCACTAATGAAGCTGCAGAAACCAGCAATGGAGATGATCAGGATGATGCTGCCAGAGAGCTCCGCCAGCAAGCATTTATGGAGAGTCATGTGAGTGGGAAGATCATTAAGCATTGCCCTTTTTTGATGGCTAACAATCATGTTTCCGAGCTGCCCGTTGGTATCTGCTTCAGTATATTTGTAAGTTTCTGCGTTGGAGCAGATTGGCCACTTGTGGAATATATGAAGATGAAACGCTGGTCTCCCGATCCAAGGATAACATCTGATTGTTGCAGAGGGCTGTAAGCAAAAATTGGAAAATCCCAGAATCCTTTCCAAGTGAAGCAGTTGTGGCGGAATATAAAAGTCCTCGTGTAGAGAAATCAAAACAAGGTTTCTCATGGGGTCGACCAGACCTTGAGGCTCTTCGAAAGTAATTCCAGCTTCCCCATTGTGAAAGCGGTTTTTTTAGGGAATATTTTCTTACGAGTATCTGAGACTTACTTTTAGATGGCTTGATTATTATGCTTTCCTATGTTGTGGTATTCAAGGATGGTTTTATTGCTCGCAAGTACAGTTTTTCTTTTATTGCTGAAGTAACTCCATGTTGTATTGCAGGTTTTGTCTTGAGCGGTTTTCTTGGCCCAAAGAGAAAGCAGATGAATTGCTCTTGTCCGTTTTGAAGGAGTATGATCGGCAAGAGGTATTGTTTGTGTTTAGTTCAGAAATTAATGTCGTCTCTGCCCATCTTATGCTTGTAATCTTATACTGCTGTTCGATTCTGCAGACACAACTTCGCATGGATGCCTTCTACGCTTTCAATCAAAGGTTTGCTAAAGTCAGGAGTGCTCGCATTCAAAAGGCCCTTCGGGGAACCACAGGTCGATTATCTAAAGAGTTGGTGGACGTTTCCTCTTTGGATGGTCCCCCTGCTAAGAAACAGAAGCAGAGAAAGGGCTCTAGCAAAAAGTCAGTTGAAAAAATAGCAACCGAACTTGTGGAAGAAGCAGACTTGAACAGTGTGCAAGGAAATATAACAGGTACAACTCAGTCATGAGAATAACCAACTTGAAACTGAGTATTTGAATTTGTGTATGACAACTGCATATCCCTCAATAATCACTAAAGTTGATATGATGTGGATGTTGCAGAAGGCCTCCCAGATTCGGAAGATCTTACTTCAGGTCACGCAAACAGGAGAGGGAGGGGAAGAAGGAATAGAAAGAACAACAAAGAGGCTGTTAAAACAAGGGGAAGGGGAAGAGGAAGAGGAAGTAGAGGAGGTAGAATTTCTGACGTTACTAAAGCAGACGAGGATAGCGCCTCCACTGCTTCTAGTGAAAGTGACCATGACGACACAGTAATCGAGATGAAAACGAAACGAGGCAGACCAAAAAGGAAAGCGGAAGACCAACTTTTGCCAATTCGTAGGGTGAGTAGTACTAATATTTTTGTATTAGTATAATATGAATTCTATGCTCGAGGGTCGGCATTTTTACTTATTCTAATACCGCACAACTGTTTTTATTTTTTTGCAGTCTAGCAGAGCTCGCAAGAATGAAGCTAATTATAATGAGCCAGCAGGTTCTGATGACGCAGCGGATAACCCCGAGAATGAAGATGATGTTTCTACTGGGAGCCAAACTTCGAATCCAAGCAGAGAAGACCACGCTGAAGAGATTATTGATCACCGCAATTTTGTTCAATCCAGTTCTGCTGAATATCAGGCAGGAGCTGGAGCAGGCCACCTTAGGGACGATGGGGACGTCCATAGAGATAGAGAGACGGGAGCTGTTGCAGCTGAAACGGGGAGCGTGCCAACGCCCTCGTATCTTTTTAGTGGCGGAGGTTTCTGTGTACCTGAGGAAGATGTCGTTCCAGGTCTCGAAGGTCATCACGAGCAGAACGACAACATTCAGCCTGAACAGGATGTAACTGAGCCATGTGATCCCAATGAGCTGGTCAGTGGTCAAGTGGATGCGGATATTACGCCAGATTTATCGAATGTAGACCAGGAATTAATCCAGACGGCAACCCAAGTAGCCATTGAAGAAATGCATACTAGTGCGAGCAGTGGATTTCGGGCACTGCCTTTCCTTCGCAGAAAACGGCCTTCGAAGCAACCCTAAGCTATGTTCACACTCAGCTGGTAAGATTTGGCATTCATCACATGGACATGCTTGTGAGTAACAATTCAATATTGGTGTTGGCAGCGTGGGTTTCAGCTCTCATAAATATACATACTTCTTCCAGTGGTTCTGCTTTCAAAGTACCACACTCGCTGACAGTGATACCCGTTGGAGCAGCTTGACTTGCGTAGAAATTGTTGCAACTTCCAAACACGGCTAGAACTGTTATATTGAAATATATTGGACCCTTGTACGTATTTGATTCGTTCATTCGACTACGGTGGACAGAGCGAGTGTGCAGTGGTAATTACTGATACTGACCAGTCATGGCCCCGGTTTATCAAAAGTGTCGGTTGTTTACGATTGAATATTGAATTGTTACTCACAATTCAGTATTGGATGTCACTAGAGTTACCTGTGCTGATGAACTTGGCCTTTGAAAAGGTTTCTCCGATTTATTATCATCTGCAAGGCCCACTTCTGGAATGGGGGAGGATCTCATTACGACTTCATGATTGCTCTCTGAGGCTTATTATTTGACTTGGTTGTGCCACGACCAGTGCTGTGTATTTCTTTGGTAAGAACATTCGTGATATATTGACATTTCCATCATTCTTGAGTCTTACCCTCGTCAACCAAGGTGAAGAAAACGGCTGGAGCGATCTTAACCAAAAAGGAGTTTAGCTTGGTTTGTCGTCACTTGAACTCTTCATTTCGTATTGCTGTAAGAAGTGCGAGGCCGCCACGGGGACCTTCGTGGCTGCCTCCTTGTATGAACAGCGCACGGGCTGGTGCTACTATTGACGTATATCATGGTATTCACTTTTGGCGAGATGTAGCATTTCCTTGCAACTATGCGCACGAGCGTATTTGCAGCTAATCAGAAGGGCATCCAGTAGATTTTTCAGTGCTTAGCATCGAATGCCATTTATGATACAGGGTATCAACACGACGCATTCAGAACAATTCTGACCTCAGGATGAACGAGCAATGTGGTCATTGCGGCACTGACTAGTAATCACCAAACGGGTATGGAAAGCGGCCCTCATGTCAGAAACATTACAGAGAAATCGTTACATCAGTTTAAATTAACATCATTGACTCCCACTCTAGTAACTTAGTCAATTCGCAACTTCTCACGTGGTGGGCCAACTGGAAGAGACTTTCTGTGCAGATGGTGCAGTTGGGCAAGCGGGTCCAAACGATACATGCTATGATCAACGTATGTCAAGCTCTTAATGCTCGCGAAATGCTCATATATGATAGCACCTCTGAAGCTCAGGGGCTCGCCATCGTATAACTCCGTCCACGTTAGAATCTGACAATTATATATCTGGCAACCAAGCAAGCAGTATGGAATCATGGATGCGTTCTTATGCAGCCAGCGTTCCGAAGCACAAGCGGAGAGCACACTATCTTTTCCTTTTTGCACAATGATGTTGAGTTAGTCATACTCGTAGTAATCAATGACCAGAGATAGCGATATGCGTATGCTTAGCTTATTACTCACTAACGACCTAAGACCACAGGCGAAACGATAAGAACTCTGAGTCCTGGATGCCAGAATTTGAAAAATGAGCTTGCCTGGTTTGGGACTATCTCAGTTTGTCGGTGAATACGATTCAGAAAGCATGATTCGTCGCAGCATCCGGAGATATTATGGACTTATGAGTTTGGCCGAAGCACAGCTTTCAATCTCTTTTCATTAATACGATGATAACAAATTTTGTAGGTTGTTCTTTTTTTTAGAATAGAATAGTTAAATCCTACTCTTCTTAATGAAATGGCTACGTTGAACCCTCCAATAAGGTCTAATCCACGACATTACGAAATTCAGTGTGAAAATATACTCGGCAGTTTAGTACTTATCCATTGTATCGTTTGGTTGTCATACAATGTCGCAGGTTACTACCTATCATTTGTCATCTGTATTACAATATTATATGCATATTTTGGTACTTATGAAAATTTTGGTCCGCATTGTCCAATCAACGTGTACACACAGTGAGAACCTAATTGAATACAAACTCAATATGTGTGAACAATTGACTAGGAAAACTTGAGTGCAACAAGATTGCATAGGGACATGGACCATCGAGTAGAAGTACACAATATACGCGTAACATTCTGGTTAAACAGAATTATTTGCATTTGATAATCATCTTATGGTACCAATCCTCATGAAAGCAATTTGCAAAAAAAGTGATAAGGATCCGATTAAATGCAACTTGTCAATACGCAGTGCAAGTGATGGCAGAAGTGGCGATGTGCATCAGAGCGACGCAGATGTGCGGGGCACCGATCGAACAAGTGTGTCATGCATGAGCGCAGAAATGCCCAAATTGAGCAGCACAGCGAAGTCGAGTTGCTGTTGAGGGCCTCACAAGCGGCGGTGAGCTCGAGGGAAGTGACGACCGCCGCTGACGACGATTCTACACTTCACTCTACGTCTTGATTTGCCGTTTAGGTCCTCCTGTAATCGCTCGGATCGAAATGTCGGCATCCTTCTTGAAGTCCACCGAATATCCGGAAGGATTCCACCTTGAATTCTCGGAATTCCATTCATGTTTCGCCTAGAAAGGTGCAATTATACCCGTGTCATCCGGATGATGGCATTGCGTTTAATCTCGAGCTGTCGACTCTGTCGTCACATGAAGTCGCCATCAGTTTCGCTTAGGAAATCCTAAAAACTCAGCACATTGCGCTCGTGTAGAAACAGAACGCAGGATTTTATTGAGGGGCGTAGGAATGGACATGCAGTCGCGGTTGGTCTCATTCTTGGTGGTTGCTGGAGAGCGGCATTTGCTGAAGAGGATGGAATTTCGAGGTATTTCTCTTGTTGTTGGGTCCACCATTACGTTGAAGGATGGCTTTTGCCTCTAAATTTGTGGGACAGTCCACCACATGTTTCAATTATTTTTCATTCTTGGTGTGATAACTCTCGTCCAAGTTGTTCAGTACAGACTAGCGACTTCGGGATAAGTCACAACCCTCCCAGCCTTATCGTGAGTCGCATGGTTGTGGAGTTTCGGCGTGACATGGAAGAATCTCTGTGATTTGTTGGTTTTAGTTTCTAACACAAAGTGATCGGAAGTTCAGTGAGTCCGTTTGAGAAATCATACTATCCGATTGAGGGTTCGTGGATTTACCCAAAACAGAGAAAGAAATTGGAATTTGCACGCCTGATAAGAAGAGAGGAGGCATGAAAGGAAGCGGTGATGTCATAACCCTTCAGCAGGTTCAACCGATCCTCTTTTCGGAAAGATGGGCGGATTTACAGGAAAATCCACTAGATACTTTGGAGAATCCAACAGTAAATTCTTTCTGGAAAGTAACTCACTGTCTGAAAATTTAAACTGGCGTTGTCGGATTCATGCACCGACATCACATGTTCCAAAGCATAGTTGACTTTTATGCAGACAATGTCTGTACAAGCATCGAATTTGCGTCTAGCAGCACTTCGTGTGGTTTCGGGACACAGAAAGAGCTTCATGTATTCTGTTCATAGCGGATCGAGGAGGTTATGGAGTTTAGCAGTGTGTTGGCGACGGAGGTGTTTGGACTCGCGTGCTTATGATCGATCTGAGGGTTTGGTTTTGCGTCCCTTGGCTAGACTTGGCGGAGGTTGAATCAGCAGAGACGGAACAGGGTCGAATTCAACATACAATTGTGCGGTGTAAAGAGACGTCAGACTTCAAGGTAGGAATGCATTTTTTAGGTGGATTTTCAAAGTTGTGTGGGTGGGTGGGTTACGTTTCCTGATCACTGGAGCTAATTGTCGTTCTTCGCCTTTGTTGAAGCTCTAGGTATGTACCTTACGCAACTCACGAATGCATTAAAAAGAAACAGAATACTAGGTCAGCATCGTCGTAGAAGAAATTTGTTCAAAGATGTGAAAGCATATCTTGCTGATTCGTGCTCATCTTTATTTCTTTGCAGAGGACTCCGCTTCTTTCAATTCTGTAAAGTTTGCGATGTCACTGTAGTTGGCGTCATGTGTGGTGAGGCTAGACATTGTGCCTTCAGAATCTGCTGTGGTGGATTTTGTTGGGCCTGGTTTATGCTGGGTGAGAACTGCGTGGAGTTTGAGGGGTTGTTTTCGTAGCGGTAATCTGCCGTATCATTATCCCTGCACCTAATTCCGAGTAGCTGGCTATTTTTCTTGTCTACAACGCTCTTTCAGTTTCCAGCTTAAGAATTTGTTTCCCGTTTGTTTACTGTCTCAATTTAAAAGGACGTGGATTTGACACATGTAAACATTTAAGCAATTGACTACATAGACAAGCCTAAGTGAACAAGGGAGACAGATTAGGTAGACGTGTGAAGTTTCAGGCACGTTTTCAGCGTTATTGAGTTCTTGTTTGCGTTATTGTCTATTTGGTTAGGTACTTGTCGCCTCGTTTTCATAATTTATTTGTTTGCCTCATGCCAAGGGATGTGAAGGTGCCGTGTGAATTGTCCTACTTGTTAACATAAGTCTGTCTCTTAGGTTTGAGGTATGATGCTAAATACCCACAATATTTCTGTTTATAGAGCGCAAATTATCACCATTGTATGTGGTTTTTATTAACATCAACACTGTGGAGCTGTGAGGAGAAAAGCACCGACTTCACGGTATGGCATTTCCTACGTCTTCGGATCCAGGTAAGATATGAATTAATTTTCTCTTTCCTTTTTACTTACACATGTACGTATATATATAATTTCATTTTATTTCTTTTGACAAGCCTGCCGTATTCCAACTCAATGGGTCAACTAAGTTGCAACAAGGGTATCGCAAGCTCTTTTTATCAGGTAGATTTTTGGTGTTGTCTTGCAAATTCGACTCGCAATGTGTTGTAATTTATTGGAATGCATAAATGACGATGAAGAGGGGCAACATGGTTTTGTAATCTTCAGTTGCATCCGCTAGTGAACATCTAAGATAACCGAAATTGTCACATTGGGAAGTGTAACAGCCAGTCAACTTCTCCTTACATGCAACAAATTTTGGGAACGTTTTCTTAGCGATCAACCTGGCATCGTAATGTATGTGGTTCAAGCTAGTTGACAGACATGATCCCTTTCTAAAAACAGATTTCTCTCTTCACACAGATTCTGGTTGGGAAATGGTCGATGAGCCAATTGATCAAGTCCGACAAGCCTTGGCAATTATTGCGAATGTTCGGAAAATCTCCGAAACTGTATGGGTGAACAAGCGCCAGTGCAAGCGCGTTGCAGATCGTTACTTTGCCATAAGTGAGTTACTGAATAACATGAGCTGCGACAAATATTCTACTGTTGGCAAAGCATTTGGTGGTGGCAGCAGCAGCAGCAACAAGGACTATCCTGCCTTTGACGATCTTCTCACAGTGCTATTGAAGGGGCAGAGTTTGGTATCGTACTATGAGGATCCTAAAGGAATTAGCATTGTTATTAGCCGGACTGATAATCGAGAGGCATTTAAGGAGATTCATGAAGAACTCGACACCATGAAGGCGCAGTTTGACTTTGAGGGCTTGACGGAAGTCTTCGAGTCCACATCGGTCCAGACGAGGATCAATATACTGACAGCAGATGCCGAAGCGGACAAGAAAGAGATGCAGGAGATTTTTACTAACATTCAGGAGTTGAGTCGAACAACGGATATGGGTATGGATGCGGAGAAGATAGCACACGTAGTTCTGGAGAAGAACGAGCATGCAAAGGGCAGTGACGAGTTGCCGAGTTATCTTAAAATTAATTTGGCGGCTATAGAAATCAACAGCCCTGTGCGCGAGTATAGGAGACAAAGTACGCGAGATCCAAAGGAGATGGATGGTTGGGTGCTTGTATTTTCCGGTAAATGGCTTGGCTGCGATTTTGCCGTTAAAGTATTCAAAGCTGGTGCAGTTGGTGGTGCAATGTGGAACAAGCAACAATTGTTGAAGGAGGTTGGCTGTTTGGAAGGATTGAGGCACCCTCATATTACCCGCCTTGTTGGTTTTGGTCAGGACAATGAAAAATCTATTTTCTTGATGGAGTTAATGGACGGAGATTTAAGAGACTTCATGAGACAGAAATTGCAGTTTGCTCCGACACCAAATTCTCGGCCCTTTAATCGGAGTGAAGAACTCGATATCATTACACAGATTGCGAAAGGCATGTACTATATGCACCAACAGGGATATGTACACGGAGATCTCAAGTGCTCTAATCTTTTGGTTAAGAATTGTGATCAATACCTTGAAGTCAAAATCTCTGATCTCAGGGGGTCTCAGAAACTCGACAAAGAGTGGGATCCTGTAGCATTCAAACAAGCAAGTTTGACAAGACGGCCTCGATGGACTGCACCTGAGGCCATTGCAGAGTATGGTGGATTACAGCCTTCGAAGGAGTCATTGAAGAAGAGCGATGTTTACAGTTTTGGAATGACTTGCTATGAAATTGTGACAGGAAAATACCCCTTCGATGGAATAAAAGATGATCACCTTCTAAAACAGATCGAAGAAGGCTTTAGGCCAGAGTTGCCTGAGGACTTAGACAAGTCTCTCAAGGGGCTAATTACAACGTGCTGGGATAAAGAACCTAGGATCCGGCCGAGTTTTGAAAATATCTGTCATCTTTTAGGAGTAACAAGGTCCAAAAAGCCTCCTGTTACAATTACTTCGCCTGGGAAAGACGTGTTGGGTGTTTTCAGGGGCATATCCATAGTTCGGGAGGCAGTCTTCGGCTTGATTGGAAGGAAGCGAAAAATTCAAACACCAGAACAGTCGAGCACGTGGGAGGCGCAGGAAGAAGATAGTACCCATTTTCGTCGCAGTCCTAGTGAGCTTATGGTGCCTGAGTATTTGAGGATTCCGCCCGGGGAGCTCAAAAAAGTGAGATGTATTGGACACGGGAATTCTGCAAAAGTTTATGAGGCAACCTGGTTAGGCTGCACCTTCGCTGTGAAGAGGTTTAAAACAGGCTCATCTCATCGAGACCTGCAGCATGAAGTGGATTTTTTGATCAACCTAAGTCGTCACCCTTGCATAGTGCAGATGGTAGGTTTATCTGTGGACTCAAAAGATAAGTGCTCAATTGTGATGGAGTACATGAAAGGCAATCTGCATGAGTTGATTTACAGTCGGATGCAGAAAAAAATCTCAGAGGCGACAGGACAGAAGATTCCTGCTTGTGATGTTGTGCCCTTTGACATCCATGAGGCTGTGTTCATCATCACCAGAATTGCATTAGGTATGGCCTATCTGCACTTTAAGGGGGTGATGCACAGAGACTTGAAGCCCGTCAATGTGCTCGCTCAGGAACATGCTGGAAGTCTAGACGTGAAAATTGTGGACTTCGGCATCTCTCACCTCGAACTGCCTTCGGATTCAAGCCAAGCACGAGGACCTTACATGAATGCAGGCACTGGGTTTTGGCGGGCACCTGAAATACTCCCAGGCTGCGATGAAACACGAGGAAAGCTTGATCTTAAGGCAACAGATGTTTACAGTTTCGCGATTACATCGTACGAGATCTTGACAGGAATAACTCCTTTCTTGGATATAAAACGAAAAGATTACCACAGAGTGAGAGAAGGGCTTCGACCGAAGCTCCCTGCAGATCTGAACTCAGAGTTGAAGGAGCTCATCGAGCAATGCTGGCACACAAATCCTTTGAAAAGACCAGCCTTTCCAGAGATTTGTGAAAGACTAGAGAGAATTCAGAGGATGCTGCCGAGATCTACTTCATAAGGGTATCGAGTCTCCAAACCCTAAACCCCAAACCCTCAAATCCTGACTCGACCCCTTCAGTGAAGAGTGAAGGATGTGAAAGCATTAGAGGCACGTCATCTTGCAGCATTTTAAAGTTTTGAGATAGTTTTTCTCTTTATCCTGCATTGTTTATTGGTGTAAATAACTTTCTGTATTTCTACTCAGATATGCTCCGATTTTGTTTTGTTTTATTTTTTTGGGTGTTGTTTTTCATGAGTTCGAATAATTCGTATTTGCAATTGATATTAAGACTTTGATAAAAACAGTGGCAATTGATGTTAAGACTTTGATAAAAACAGTGGGTACCCATCAATAAGGTGAAGTTAAAAAAGAACCAACAAGATCTATTTACATGGTTTTCAACGGAAGGATGTAATTTGATAGAATGTGGGAAGAATATTTTGAAAGAATATTTGCTTTCAAGGTAGTTAATGTTGTCAATGTTTGTAAAATATTGTGGAGTTTAATGACTTTGTGACAAATATTTCTTTGGTTATTGAGGTTTGCATACAGAAAATCAAAATGTTTTATTGGCAATGTAGTAAAATAATGTAGAGTATACATGAATCAACAAAATGGACTACGTTTGTATTTTTTGTCAATTTGACTTCTATTGGCGTTGTTATATGTGGTTAGCAAGGTCTATCACTGTTCTATAAATAATGTGAAAAAAAAAGTTGAGAGAAAGTACAATGAACTAATAAAAAATAAAACTATCTAAGCCACACTACAAAATTTGGAATGCAAATATGCAAGAAGAAGCATATAAGGGGTATGTGTTTAAAATTTAAAATAAATAAATCAATCAATCAATCAAGATATCATATTTTTATTTTATTGATGATGTAAAATTATCATTTTCATCTATCTTATTGTAGCGGATTGTTTTAAATCTACAAAGTAATAAAATCTACTTTTTGACACAACTCATGTGTATTGTAGAACAATTCCAACTTTTCAAATTAAAATATATATATGTTGTCGCAGTATTTCAGTACATGTTTGCAACAAAAAACATGCTTGTCATCATAAAGCATAAAACTCAAACTACAAGAGTAATAAGCGTCTTCGGATCTTTAAAACATTGAATACAGGACAAATTCCAACTCGCACAGAAACATGCAAAAAGAAACGGGTCCATTCTCAGATCTGCAGACAAGCGGCGACGACGAAGTGATATGGATACGTAGACCTACATCACCTCTTTAGATCCTCTACCAGAGACAATAGATCGGACAGTGCTCATCGAATACAATGCTGAAGCACCAAATCCAACAGTTTTCCAACTACTCGAGGAATCAACAGCTTCTTCAAAGGTGATGATCAAGGATCACTCCAGCGACATCGTCACGTCTGAGGCAGAAAAGAAGATCATATATATATATATATATATGTGTGTTTGTGAGTATTTGAATATAAAAAAGAAAAAATGCTCCAGATGTTACAGAAAATTTGTACGTAGCATATGCAGTATAGACCAGCAATTTAGGTGCTATTGTGACAATACGATCGACGTTCATTCTGTGATAAATGTTCCTTGTCCATAGAAGGTTGTGCGACCTTGGAGCTTACAGAGATCTGTTAAGGCTATTTTTTTCATATTGTTGCATGCTATACATTTGTGCTAACAACATAACAAGCAATGTCGAGCTCAAGTGTACAAAGCAACAAGAGCAGTGCCGCGATGCATGAGTATAGGAATATACCAACGGCTTCAGCAATCAGGTTGCACAAACCTGCGCAATAGGCTGCAAAAAGTAGCTCCGTTCACCTTGCCAAGCACTTCACTATCAAAATAAGCCTGAGTATCGAACGATTGTGTCAGATATAAAGCCTCTCATCCCATGTAGCAAGATCAATTAAGAGCAACATGTGTAATCAACAGTTTGCTCTTCCACAGAATAATCGTGCACTCTGAATCATTACAAATTCTTCCAATCGCATGTTGCTGTGCCACAGACAAATAACCTCTAGGGTCAGAAATTAAGACATTCCAGAGAAAAAATGAAGATCTGATGAATTGTCATTTTGGCAATGCCAAATCAAACAGCTCGTTGTAAGGCGATACGTGCGCATCGACAGCATTCACAGAATACCTCCCCCAGAGAACCCTGAATTAGGCGGTCGTACATCAGGAAATTCGAATATCTGGTGTACGAGCAGACAGAGACTGCAAAGGCGCTGAACACACCACAGAATGAAGGCATCGTCTGCGTTTCTTAAAGTAAACCAAGCTCCACGCAGTGAAATCGTCTCGCCGCTAATCCAGCCCGCCGTTTGATAACTCGCACAGGCCTCATGTCGCTCCCAACGACGTTACCAAGAGAGCGTCCATATGGTGAAAGCTCCGATCCCGAAGGACCTTGGCTTTCCAATTCCATCTTCGATCTCATCCCTGAGCCCTCTTGTTCGATCCTCTACGCATTCCTCGGCAGCTCCTCCTCATCACAACAGATCCGATCCAGAACATGTCAGAATCCTCATGTTCCTGTCTGCCGAATTCTTTCGTTGTGGAAGAGTTAACCTAAGAAAGCAAAGTAAAGATGAACTAACCTACAGTGCTTCTTTTTTTTCTTTTTTTTCTTTTTTCTTTTCATATTCAATGTGCATTGGATCTTACACGCATATGGATAAATATACAACACGCACACACAAACGCACGCACGCTAGCAAGCACTCTATTCCATTCGTGTAAAGGAAATTTTACATATACATAAATGAAATGTGTAAAATCGCCCGCTCGTGGCCATGTTTGGGAACACCACCATGTGAGTTGTGCTATTTAGATCCGAAAAGGCAACGGGGAACGATGTGAAGAGGCTCCGAAATAAGTGTGGGCCATAGCTACTGGACCCTTTGGTAGTACACAAGCGGTGATGGGTGCAGGTCATAAAGGGGCGGGTCCCGGTGATAGGGGCTCAAGACCCTGAAAGCGAGTTTCTTCCCAGGGGTTTGAATTCGGGTTCTGTGGTCACGCCCAAGTGCATTCAATGCAGATAGTGCTCTTTCTGAAACACACCGATCTTGTCCATTAATATTCCGCCACGTGTCATCATTCCCAGTTAAGGGAACGGCGGGCGCTCGATTGGTTAATGCGTGTCTTTCTCTTGGCCAATCTTCGCGTCCAAGCGTTTCTCTCATTGGTTACGACTCCCGAAATTTGCTGACTTGGACTCTACCATTTAAATGAGGTCCGTGCTCTGATGCCAAGTCAGCTTCTGGGAAGTGCGAATCCCACTCCCCCTTCCGGGTTAGGAAATTTCTACGCCCGTGACGTGGATTGCCATGTGAAATAGAAGCACATTCCTGCGAATAGGATCAAGCCACGTGGCGCCCGAGGTTCTTCGGGGTCGGGTGTGGACTAGTGCATACGGGTCTATTTTCCCCCCTTCTCTTCGTGGTGTAAAGTTTAATGGTGCGTGATGATAATGTTTTTTCATTTGACCCATGTTTTGTAATTGCAAATCAAATTCCCCATTGGGTTTAATCATCATCCTCCCATCAATTCAAAGCTTTTACTTGCTCTCAGTTCCTTCGTTTTAATACGGATGAATAGGGGATACTCCTGCTTTAAAGTAGAATTATGTGCTGAAAAAACCAGGTTGTTTGGGTTGAGAGTCAAGAATTTCATTGTGGAACTGTTTATTATTTTGGTGTCGTATATCTACATTCATTCTTTTCAACTCGATAATAAAAATGTAAAGATAAAAAACTTGTATATGTTTCTGTAATACCTTGGATAATTGGAGGGATTGCATATTTCATATGTTTCTACTTTTGCTTGTTCAAATGGGTCTTAAACAAAACTTGTAATTTTTTTACAATGGTGATATGTATAGACTAAGACAAGTATTGTATAGGGATACGTATGCTACTAGAAACATGTGTCGTGGAGCACACGAGTAGTACTAATATACTACCCAGATCATGTAAATAATAAAATAATAAACGCTCTTCCAATTGCATCCACTTTAACTCTTAGAATAAATTCATGTTGTTGAGAGCAGTAGAAAAAGTTATCAATTTTATAGATTCATACAAAAGTAAATAATTAAAGTTATATCTAACAAATTGTTAGTTTAATAAAAACCATAAAAAAGCATTTTAATAACCATGATCACTTTATTTGTTACTAATAAACAAACTTTAGAATTTATTGATTTTAGTATTCACTGATGTGCATGCATGTTTCAATATATATATATATATATATATAAAAACATATAGTAAGTTTTAAAAGGTATTACATGATACAATTAAATAGCAGTATATTGATTCCTTGATTATATTTAATTGCTGTAATGTGAAACTTTCCTTGATGTAATGTGAAACTTTCCTTTATTATCAACATTTTTAGTTATGTGAATATTTAACTCTTTTACTGAATTAGAAACACAAAATCAAAAGATTTTATTTTTTATTTTTTATGGTTTTTTTCTCTCATGTATGAATATTATTATTTTAAATAACATGCTCTGATGTAAAAACTGAATATTTGAAAACAAAGCTGCAATCTTATCGTCATCACAAATATTAAATAAATAAAATAATAAATAAAAGTCGTTGGTAAATATTTCAAATCATTTGATATTTATGTGTAATTGATTGCAATTGTGTTTAAAAAAAACCATTTTGGTTAATCTATAAAAGAGCAATTCTGTGTCTCAGTGATTTAGGTTTAAAAAAAAAAAAATGCAAAAATGCAAAAATGCAAAAATAACAAGCCATACTCAAATCTATCTCAAACCACTTTCAAAAAGATGCACTTAAAATAATGATTCAACATCATACTCTTAATTCTCAATGCACTGTTGATTTTTCTGTGTTGTATTAGAATTTGACTTTAAAAACAAAATAAATCAAAAATAGAAATAAAAATGCCATTAAATGTATGCATAAAATCGTGTCTATTCAACACATTTAATTTTGACAACTAATGGATTAGACATTAAATTTAAAATACTAAGAATAATTTTAATATATATATATTAATGATACGAGTTTTAATTCTAAAATTGTAGACATGTTTACTTCAGTTTTGGCACACATATATGTATACATAGAGAAGTGGTTCATATTCATTACCAGCAGTCTCAGGATTATACACTGGGCTATGACTATATACTCAAAAAAGCAGTGTTAGAATTAGGTGGGTCTTAAAACATTTGAAAATGTATGAGGTGTACAGCTACAGCTACTTACATGTCAATGATAAATTATAATTTTTTTAGTTTAAAAATAATTCAGTCAATAAATAATGGCACATGATTGAATTAGTTCTTTATAACCACAACAAATTGTGCAATTGGAACTAGTTTCTATTTATGAATGACCAATACGAGTGTTTATTTATTTTATTTATATTTTTCTGATAATCCATGATGTGAAACCCACTTCTAAAGTTCCTAGAAACTAAAACCAAACGATCTTAAATTTGATCAAATCTCAATCACACCGATTCTGAAACCTTTGCACAGGCAGCGGTCTGTCTGTCGAATGAGAAAACAGCTAAAAAAAAACTGTCGACGAGGCGTAGAAACCGAGGCCAAAAAAAAAATAAAAAAACACTTCGACGGAAGTAGCGAGAGAGAGAGAGAGAGAGAGAGAGGGAGCGATGAGAGGATCGTGATGGACGGCGCTTCGACCAAAAATTATCGAAGCACAGATTGGTGCTTTCAGGTGCCGTGGATCGTCCAGGGCCAGGGAGGAGGAGGACTATGAATGAGCAGTAAGTAGTAACGAGAGCGGAATCATTCGATCGATCGATCAATTTGCAATAGCAACAGCAATGGCGCAGCAACAATCGGTGGGAGCCATTCGCAGACACTGGAGAGGTAGCGTGAAGTCGGTCGGTGGGTGAGAGGGCTGGGGAAGCTACTCGAGGAGGAGATCACTGTGCGGGGGGGGGGGGGAGGGGGAGATCGCAAGAAGAAGTGACAGAAAAGAGCAACCGAAACAACAAATGTGAGTAAACAGAGAAGCAGCTTGCTAAATCCGGCGGAAATGGTCGAAGCACGAACGACTTGATGGTGGAGGCTCGCTCCGGGAACGCCGCAACGCCCCAGATGATGCCAGAGATGGTAAGTCTGGGCTCGCCGAGGAGGAATGAATCCACCCAATTCAATAAGTTAGCCTGCACGGGATGGACAGCCAGTGACCAGTCCCCGATCCACTAGTGGAGGGGCCGAATCCCCGGAATGGGGCCGTTATTAGCAAGCGCTCGTCCTGGCACCGCAACATGGGGGGATCTACCCAACCTAGACATGCAGTAGGGTGGGGCTGAGTGGAATTCACAAGGCGATGGGGTGGAAATGAAGCGGCAACGCGGAATTGTGCAATTCCGGCACTATCCCACACGTTGTCGTCGCGCGCTTCCAAGATTGCAGTCGTCGTCATCTTGCGCAGGGCTCCTGTGCTGGAGGTGCATGAGCAGCACGACTTTCATCACTGGGGAAACGAATCTTAGTTTCGCGGATGTGACGAGTTGGCTAATCTTGTCAATTCGTCCATCCTCTCTCGTAGGGTGGTGGGTTTCAACTCGCCAGCAGGAATCGAGCTGCACCCTGACCTAGGCGTGGTATGAAGTCACCATCGGTGGAGTGGCTTGGGGTCTGGTGGTGTGTTGCAGCTTCGGAGGTGAGGGAGCGATGAGAGCTTAAACCCTGATTGCGCCGAATCGATTCGGCTGCGGGGATTTGCTTCCGGGCCAGCGGTTTGTGTGGAATTGTGTGAATGCGCCAGGGTGATTGGGCAGCCTGGCGAAAGCAGAGCTCGAGCTCGACTTCCACGAGAGATTTGTTTGGTGCAGCAGAGAGACTGTGGGAGGAGGGAGGGAGGTGCGGGGGGGGGTGGGGGGGGGGAGGGGAAATTTATCTGAATGACTTCAGCGTTGAGGTTTTTGTGCTGTGGGGCAAAATGCCTCGGGAGTTCCGCCAAGCCTGGAAAGGAAACTGGCTCCAAGAAGGCCATCACGGGATCAAAATCAAAGAAGAGTGGTAACTCAGGAGCACTGAAGCCTGCGGACTCGACCTTTTATGGCCCAAGAATCTTCACGTACAGGGAGCTGTCGCAGGCGACGAAGCAGTTCAGCGCAGATGAGCTCCTTGGGCGAGGTGCCTTCGGGAGTGTGTTCAAGGGGACGTTGAGCGATGGATCTATCGTGGCCGTGAAACAGATCGCGCACGATTCCAATCAAGGAGAGCGGGAGTTTCTCGCTGAGGTGTCCATCATCAGCCGCATTCGTCACAGGAACCTCGTACAGCTCCAGGGATGGTGCCACGAGAAGGGCAATCTGCTCCTGGTCTACGACTACATGCCCAATGGCTCCCTGGACAAGCTCCTCGACGGCACCAACACGAACGCTAAATTCGCAGGATGGGACATGCGCCACTCGGTTTTGCGAGGAGTGGCGTGCGCGTTGTCGTATCTCCACGAAGAATGCCAACAATGCGTTCTCCACCGTGACGTGAAACCCAGCAATGTTCTTCTCGATGAGAATTTCAACCCGCATCTCGCAGACTTCGGACTCGCCCGCCTGATACATCACACTACCGACAACGTCCAGACGACCATTATCGCCGGGACGCGGGGTTACTTAGCCCCAGAGCTCTCGCAGGTGGGAAAAGCATCAACGAAATCCGATGTGTTCAGTTTCGGGGTTTTGGCTCTGGAGGTTGCGACGGGAAGGAAGGCGCTCGACAAGAACTTGCCCGAGAATCAGAACGTGAGCTTGGTCGACCAGGTATGGCGAGCCCACGAGCAGCACACGCTGCTATCAATTGTGGATCCGAAGCTCGACGGCTCACACGACCCCGAGAAGATGACCACATTGCTGCAGATGGGCTTATTCTGCTGCCACCCTGATCCAGAAGCCCGCCCCCCGATGAGCTTCATCCGCCAGTGGTTCATTCAAGAGGTCCCGCTCCCCGCCCTACCGCCCGTGAAACCCCGCGTCAACTACGTCCTCACCCCGCCATCGCCCCCCAAGCTCGCGCTTCCCGCACCCGAGCCCAAGCTCGCAATTGAAGGCCCTCCGTCGACAGGCCCACAAAAGATGAGCAACGGCACGAGCACATCCGCCAGCCCAATTCATCCTCGCAGCCCCGCGCTTCGGAGTCCCAACACGCGCAGCCCCACGCCCCAGAGCCCGACGAACTCCAGAGAGCACGCCAAATCCAATGGCGTAAGCTCACATCCTCCTCCGACGACAGAGCACAGTCCCGCTGCAAACGGTAAATAGGTATGAAATCAAAAAAATACTGAACCCGCATTGCACAATTTTCCATGTGGGTTGGTATAATTATCCATGTGGGTTGGTATAATTATCCATGTTAGGGGGTTTAGAGCTGTAGAAGTGGGGGATGCGGTCGCTTATACTAGGCACTTTGTATCTATCTACCAAGGGATTCAAATTGAGTACATAGTTGAGAGTGGGATTACGTGATTGATGCGGATATCGTCATGTTCACTTGTCGAGGGATGCTTGCCCATTGATATCTCCGGGTGTGCAATATTTTTTGTAATTCATATATTTTTTCCTCTAAAACAGATTTATACCTTTAGAGGGGATTGGAATAAGGTAGTCTTCTTCCTTCGAAGTTGCACTCTTTTTGTCATCGTGTTTTTGCATTCCATTGCGTCTCTGTTTTTCTCTTCTGCACTGTGTTGCATTGCAAATTTTTCACACACTTGGTCCTTTTTGGTTTTCGTGTGTGAGAAGCGTGTGTGTATCCCATGTCATGGTTTCTCGTGGGATTTTGGTCGCTGTGGGGGAGCTGTTCGCTTTGTGATTTCTTTCAGTTTCTGATGCATTCGAATACATTTTTTTAGTCTGCGCGTTCGTGCTTCGAAGTTTGGATTAAGCTCTGAGGACCTCTCTCCCCCCCCCCCCCCACCCCCCATTAACAACTTGGCGGAGTTCCCGATGCCACCACACTCGGGAGAGAGAGAGAGAGAGAGGGAGAAGGGAGCCTCTTCCAAGGAATGGAAACAAAGCGGAACTGTGTTGTGCGACGCGGGCGGAGTGACCGAGGCTGGGGGATCACTCAATTGTTTGAATGGGGGAACCAAAATCAGAATTGTGGGGATGTGGGTTGATCATTTATTGCTCCTCGAAGGAAAAAAGCTCCCTTGGATCATTCATTCATGTGGATCAAAGCCCCAGCAAGTGCCTTGCTTGAATTCCATGTTCGGATGGTGCCACAAGCTTTTCGTTTGGCAAAGATGCCACCTTTGGGTTTGGATGACGCTGAAAAGGGCACCCAAACTTGAGCCCCCGGTATGACAGATTGTATTCGGTGCCACTTTGGTATATATATATATATATATATACGTGTGTGTGTGTGTGTATGTATGTATGTATACAGCATGTTAGTTCTGTTAATATCTTTTTTGAAAGAACCCATTTTTTCGTTTTCAATGTTGGTGTGTAGAAAGATTGCAGGAGAGTATGAATGAATGTTGGGTAGAAAAAGTATAAAAGTAATGCTACTGAAAGACATGTAGCGTCGGTAACATTTGTTGCATGCGCTTCTTAGAATATGTCTTTTATTGCATGGACCCCCCCCCCCTTCCATACCACACATCTTTGAACACACATAATAAAACTCATATTTACATTAAATAGCTATTGGATAATTTTTTAAGACAATGTGCATGCAGTAGTTTCTGGGATTTTAGTTATTTATTCATTTATATTTGAGTTAACAAAATTTCATAATATATTTCGTATAATTCTTTCTTTCAATTTAAAAACCTTATTAATTTCATTTTGAGAATATTTTCTTCTAAATTTGACTACAAATTGTGAGTGTAAATAAGAGCTTTGTTGTTTGTATGTAGGGGTGCATGACACAAGGGGGAGGTTTGTCAATGCAATAAAAGGGGAGTGTCTACCTAATGGTTTCCTTTATTCTCATGTATTTTTCATGTTACTTATTAAGTAAGATAACCATGGACAAATATATTTCAGTGTTGATGTATTAAAAAAATTGTATAGAATATATCATTAGTAATGATGTAATTATCTATGGTACTGTTAAGAAAAAATACATATTTATACATGAGTTTAAAATATAATTGATATATATATATATATATATATATAAGAAATAGTTATTAACTATCAATAAGTAAGAATATTAGAGCAATTTAATTTAATTTATTAAATTCTAATAACAATAATTCTAATATGGTTTTAGTATATATATATATATATATATATATATATATATGTTGTATGTTTTTTAATATACAATACCATTATTATTTGAAACATTTAAAACATTTAAATTTTTTAATAATTTATAAAAGATAATTTACTTCAAATGATAGTGTTTTTTGGCCATAGTAAATTTTTATTGATAAAACACCAAATGAATGCTTTGTATTTTTTTTAGCATATATTTTAACCACTCAAACTTAATATGTCTATCTTGCCTAAATTTCTTTGATACAACATATTATTTTAACCACTTTAATAATTCAATATATCTTTTTCATTATATTGTACATTTTAATTGTTACAATTATAGATGATTATTTACTACTATTTCTTAAGACTATCTAAAAGCACTTATTTTGCCAAACTTGAATTTTAAATTTACCATAATATGAATAAACAAAGATGGAGCAATTTAGATAAATGTTTAAAATATCTCTTGAATGTCATAACTCTAATAAATAAAATTTTAGATTTTAGTAAACATAAACTCTAACCAACTAAATATCAATGTAAAATTTTAAAAATATAACATAAAAAATTTAAAATACAACAACTACAAAAAAAAATAAAAAAAAATAAAAAAAATTGAACAAAATTAATTTTAAACAATCTACATTTTAGATTATTTTATTTTAGTTTAGATGTTTTTATATACAAATGGCACATATTACAAGGCTATTATTTCAAAAATGGATGTCTAACTACTAATAAATTTTAATAATTATTAAAATTTTAAATTATTTTTAATAAAAATCTATATTATATAAAAAGAAATAATAATTTTATAAGAAATTAAAGAATAACTTATAATTTTAATTTTTTAAAATTCTAATATTTAAAAATTCTATAATAGTATTTTTTAAAACAATAACAAAATAAAAAATCAATAACTTTGTATTGTTACGTTTAAAATGTTAAAAATAGATTATGATCATTAGTATTTAATCAATCTTAAAACTATGATATTACTTTAGTAATATATATATATATATATATATATATATATATATATATATATTTTAAATCATCAAGGACATGAATCTTAAAGGACTTAAAGATCAACACACTCTTGTATTATTCAAAAAGACTAAAAAATCATTCAAAGATGGCATTTTAATCATTTTAAATTAGAATGGTCATTGCCAAAGACAAGAAGATTAGAAAGTCTTGAAAGAAGACTAAAGCTTACAAAGGCATAGATACGTATGAAAAAGGCTTCACTCTTGTCTCCATGTATACTATCTAATTAGAAGTTATGCATCAACATTCTGTAAGATCTTTGACATATGTCCAATTTGTGAATCACATGTTTTAACTTGCAAGGCAAGTTTCCTACATGTGTGCCAAATTGTTAGGTTTTACCACAAGCAACTAACACATGCTAATTTATTAGCTATGTTTTTAATCTATTAATCAACTATAAACATGTATAAAGCCAAATATACATCTATAAATCTTCTAAGAAGCTTTGCTATAAGATAATATCATATCTACTTATATTTACATTCTACCTACTACTTTTTAATTAAATAAAAATATATATTTGTGATATTTCTTTTCCTTTTAGAAACAAATTCTACAAAGAGAAATCATCAAATATTGAAGAAGTTCAAAATGCAATGAAATGTGTTTATCATATTTTTTTTTCTATTTGAAGGTGATTTCAATCATTAATAAGTGTCCTATATCAAGGCAAAAAAACCATCTTGTTATTTGATCATTATTAATGTCTTTGTAACATCTTTCAAATAAAACATTTGAAATACCGTTAGGAGTCATTTCTATCTCTAATAAAATCACCAAAAATCAAAAGTCTTTTCTAAGGTCATGATATCAAATATGTTATATCTTGTCATTCATTGGAGGAAGGACATGTCATTTTTGAAGGTCTTTGTATCTATGATGTCAACTTGAAGATTATAACAATCACAATATTTTGTCTTGTAAATCAATAAATGATAGCTCTTGAATTAAATTTACTAACTATTGATTTTTTAGCTCTTTATTACAACAAATACACAAAAATTACAAACAATGATGTAATCTTTTCAAAATTACATTTCTTTAATAAAAAAGATTTGTTATTCTTCATCTTGATTGTGATAGATATCGTTGATGAAAAGAATCAATTTTTTGTGGTGTATTTGTAAGATTCTTCACAAACTTTCATGTATGTTTACTAATATCATATTTATGCTAATAAACAAGATATTTCAACTTATTTCAGTGCCACCAAGTGTCTAAGACTTCTTCAATTTTGAACTCTTCATTATGATCTACTTTTATAAGGTGAAGTGGCATTTGTCTTTTTTGTAAAATATTCATTATTCTATATGGCTCAAAAAAAATATGTGGAATACAAAATAGATCATTATAGACTCTCATAATCAATAATCAATAAGTGATTGAATCGATTTGTTTACAAATAGGAAATGGTTCAAGCCTACAATAATCTAACTTGTCATAATAGTGGCTAGTCTTAATATTGTGACAAAGTAATCATACCTTTTGCCAACATAGAATTGAGGTTGCTCCTTAGAATAGACATTCAAATTGGTCTTTTGTTGTTCTTGAATTTCTTTTAGATGTGGCTTCATAGTTTTATGTACCTTATATAAACAATTTGTCAAATCTTTTTCTATAAGATTATTAACTTTTGAATCATCAAAAACATGAAGTCATGGATAATAATCATAATTAATAAAGAAAGATAATTGTTGTATAGAAGATTGTATTGTATTATTATAAACAAACTCTATCAATGATAAAAAAAAAATTATCCAATCACCTTATTGGTAGTTGATGATAAATCTCAAATATTACTTTAAAACTTACTTTACATATTTTGTTTGTCCATTAATTTGAAGATAAAATCTAGAGATAGTCTTAAATTTATTTTTAGAATTAAAAAAAAAATCTCCAAAATTTTGATACAAAGTAAGTCATTCTATCTAATATAATATTTTTGATTAATCTATAATAGCAATAGATGTTATTAATAAAAAGCTTAGTTGTTTCTTTATATATGATAGATTTTGTACATGATACAAAATATGTCATCTTAATAAAACAATCTACTATCATGAACATAAAATCATAAGAATCTAAAACTAAAAGATTCATGATCAAATCTATTGAAACAGAAGACAATAATTATTTTGGAACAGATAATGATTAAAGAAGTATATATGATAGATGATGTAGAGTTTTTAATTTTGAACAAATGTCATATGATTTTATAAAGCCATCCATATTTGAGACTTCTAAAAATTTCTAGCTATTTTTTTTTAAATATATAATTTTTTCTTATAATAAAGTAGATTATTTTAAAACTTAAACTTAAATATATTATGATATTTAAAATAATTATTTTTAATATCTCGAATAAGAGAA